CTGCAGAGCCCAGGAGCTATGTTGAGTCAGTGGCCCGCACGGCCACAACGGGCAGGGGAGGGACACTGCCCGCTGCCCAGCCCGCTGCCCAGCCCGCTGCCCAGCCTGGAGGCCCAGAGGTGCCCACCAGGAATGGCACTGTCTCCAACTCCTTCATCGCCCCCAGCCCTGTCTCCACCAGCAGCCCTATTCACAGCATGGATGGGTAAGGCAGTGGGTGCAGGTCCCAGGGACTGGGGGGGGCTGGGGCTGAACCCTGCTTGGTGCACAGGCTTAGAATCACAATCACAGAGTCACAGAATCATTAAGGTTGGAAAAGACATCCAAAATCATACAGTCCAACCTTTGACTGAACACCACCAAGCCAACTAAACCAGAGCACTAAGTGCAATGTTCAGTTGTTTTTTGAACCTCTTCAGGGATGGTGCTTGTTCCCAAGTTGAAACTGCCTTTGCAAAGACCCACATCTCTCCGTGCAGGGTTTGGGTATCCCAGCCAACTGTACACTTCAGTGCCCTGAGAACACAAATCTGGGTCACTGCTGGTCACTTGGTGGTTACTGGACCTCAGAAACCTCTCACTGGGAACCTGTCCCCTGGAGTGGGAGGAGGGATGGGTTGTGCTAACCCCTAGCATTCATCCTCTGGGGTGAAATGGAGCCATTGTCCCTGTCCCCTGTCCACCCTGACTACAAGGTGCAACCACACAAGCTGGCAGAATAAAGGTGTTTGCTGGGAGCAGAGCTGGAAAAAGGCTCTGATCTGTAGAAAGTCATATTTTGAGATGGAACGGGGATTCAGGGTGGAGCTAAAGATGCCTCTAGTTGCTTCCATGAAGCTGTCTGGACCCACAGTTGCCTCTGAACAACCAAATAGCTGACTGGCTCTGTGCCTCAGTTTCCCTGTGTGCCACATGCAGGAGGGTGCCAGTCCCTGCCAGCAGCAGAAATGAGCGGTGGAGCTGAATTCTGCCTTTCTTTGTCTCTCCTCAGGGCCTCCCTCCGCAGCTACCCGTCAGAAGGCAGCCCCCACGGCACGGTGACACCTCCCCATGCCTCAGCTGAGCCCTTGTACCGGTCCCCTGTTGGCTCGCAGATGCCCTCTGCTCACAGCAGCTACCAAAACTCGTCTCCAGCTTCCTTTGCAATGGTCCAAGGAGGAGTCCCGGGCTCGACATACAGCAGCCCAGACTACCCTGATGGCCGAGCTGGCCTCCAGCCAGAACCCCAAGCTCCGCCACAGCCACCGGTCAATGTGGTGGGGGTCCACACCCTGCCAGGGAGCCCTCGCAGCTTGCACCGGACAGTGGCTACAAATACACCGCCCAGCCCTGGCTTCGGGCGAAGAGCCATCAACCCCAGCATGAGCGGTGCTCCCAGCAGCCCTGGGCTGGGCAGGCATGCTGTGGTGGCCCATGGCAACCTGGTGGCCCCGCCGGGGAGCCCCAGCCTGTCCAGGCACCAAGCAGCGGCAGCCACATCCCCTGGCAGCCCCCTCTATGGCTACTCCAGCCCAGAGGAAAGGCACCTGACACTGTCTCGGCAGAGCAGCTCCTCTGGCTACCAGCCTCCCTCCACGCCGTCCTTCCCTGTCTCCCCAGCGTACTACCCTGGCACGAGCACGCCACACTCCTCCTCCCCGGACTCGGCTGCCTACCGCCAGGGCAGCCCCACGTCGCAGCCTGCTCTGCCTGAGAAGCGGCGGATGTCGGCTGGGGACCGCTCCAACAGCCTCCCCAACTATGCCACTGTCAATGGCAAGGTGTCCTCACCCCTCTCCAGCGGCATGTCCAGCCCCAGCAGTGGGAGCGCCGTCGCCTTCTCCCACACTCTGCCGGACTTCTCCAAGTTCTCCATGCCGGGTAAGGGATGCTCTTGGAGGTCCCCGTGTCCCCCTGCCCTACTCAAGGCTCTCCCTTCCTCCTCCTTGCCTGCCATGAGGAAAGGGATTGCAGCCATGTCCTGATTTACCCCTCCTGTCCATCCGCAAACCAAAGGCACCGCTGGGGCTGGGGCCATTTCCTGCACTTTCTGACAAATCCAAACAGGAAAAACACCGACCAGCATCTCTGGCATAAACAGCTTCCAGAGATGTGCATGAGGAGATCAAAGCTCCTGGAGGCATTTTTCTCTGCCGTGGGGATGCACTGACCTCTTGCCTCCATTCCCAGAGGGCTTTACCCCACTGAGACCCTGCTGTGGCGCTGCCTCCTCATTTCAAATGGTGCCGTGCCCCGGGTGCCATCCTGCCTGGAACGCTTTTGCCAGCTCTGGTTACAGACACCTTGGTGACGTCAAGATTGGGCTGATAGCACCAGGAGAATAAAGCTGTGGGGCAGCGGTGGCTCCGGCTGCTGGGCCAGTTTCTCTGCTGAGCAGGCAGCCCTTTGTGGGCACTCTGGCACTGGTCCTGGCTCCATGACTCTTGTGGCCAGGGACCTTTCCCAGCGGGGAAGAATGAGCAATTAAAACCTGTAACAATTAACAAGCAGCTTGGAGAGGGGAGTGAGCCCCCTGCGTCTCCAAAGGTGACCAGATTGCTGAGGGCTGATAAAGTGTCTCCAGCAGAGATGCTATCCAGTCGTCTTGGTTGTTTGCCTGGTTGTTTTTGGAAAGCAGGTGGTTGTTGTAAATGTTGCCTGAGTAAATGGCAGCTTCACAGCCAGAGGACCAGCTCCCATTGGGGCTGTGCCACTGGTGGGCACTGAACAAGGCAAAGTCAGGCTGGGACTGGAGCTGCTTTGCCCAGGATAGATTGACCTGCCCAGTTCCTCTTCAGAGAGCAAAGATAAGGGAAAAAACCTATTTTTTCCCTTATCCTGTTTTTGTGAAGTGTGATCCAAATGTTGAACATTAGAAAGCAGTGAATGTCCTCTGAAGTCAGGATCTCCCTGGCACCTGCAGACATACCTCTTTCCTCCAACAGTTTTTATTTTACCTGGCCATCTTCTTTTAAATTAAGAATTCCCATTTAATCTCTGTCATTGTGCCATAGAGGCTCATCTTTCACACAGCCCTCTGACAGCCCTTGAGCTTGGATTTAGCTTTAGATGCCCAGCAGCCCCATAAGCTCCAGGTAGTGATCAGCCTGGGTGGGTGTGGGGAACTGGGCTGAGGTTAGTGCAATGTGCTGGATCTGAAAGGAGGTGGACATATTAATGCTTTGGCTGGATGTGGAGTTCCAGATACAGCATCTTTTAACTTTTTTATTGTCTTTTCTTCCCTTTCCTACAGACATCAGTCCCGAGACTCGTGCCAATGTCAAGTTTGTGCAGGATACTTCCAAGTACTGGTACAAACCAGACATCTCCAGGGAGCAGGGTAAGTAGATGACACAGGGTTGGGAGCTGGGGTATGTCTGGGATCACAGGGATTAGCAAGGATTTCCCTTATCAATTGGGTTGAGAATGAAGGTGAATAATGACTGCTCAGGCTGTTGCAGATGGGGGTTGAAGCCCCATTAAGCTGCAGGTTTGTGTGATGTGGGTTCTTCAAACCTTCCTCTTGGTAGAGGATCTCCAGTCCCTGCAGTGTGCAGTAGATATGTTTGCAGTTTGAAGAGCAAAACACCTGGATGTTGAGTCAATAATGCTCAAAGGCTTCTTGGAAACATGTCTAAAATGAGAGGGGAGAACAAGGAGGTGGCAGGATGCCTTCAGGGGCATGGTCCAGCATTTGGGCCTTTGTTTCTGCTTGCTCTCCAGTACTTGGTTGCTCAGAGATAGGCAGGGTGGGAATTGGAGTTGCCCACACAAGGGCAGTGGAGGTGGAGGAAGATGAGCCTGTGCCTGGCAACCCACTCAGACGTGCAGGAGGCGTGGTAACATTGTAGTGCCTGGCTATGAGATGTGGAGCTGGGGCATCCCATCCCAACCTACACCTGTTGGTGTCATGAGGCTGCGTTGGTTCTCACTATGTCAGCTCTGAGCTCTGCCATTCTCTCCTGCAGCCATTGCCCTGCTGAAGGACAGGGAGCCGGGGGCTTTCATCATCCGAGACAGCCACTCCTTCCGGGGAGCCTATGGCCTCGCCATGAAAGTTGCTTCTCCGCCTCCCACGGTCGTGCAGCAGAACAAGAAAGGTATTGTGTGCCCTTCTCCTTCCCACGCTGAGATGCTTTCCATCGTTCAGCTGGGGTGAGCGGGCAGCTGGGGCTGCTGAGCCAGTCGTGCCCTTGGGTATGTGCTGATGTGGCAGGATCCCTGCCTCCCAGGGCACAGGAAGCACCAGACACCCTCTGCCCTGAGCTGTGGAGGGCTCAGGAGCACCTGCACCTTGGACTTCGGTATAATGAAATGGGTACAGCCCCTCCAGCCCACCAACACTGTGGGGGAGCTTGGCTTGTGGTTGACCGTGTGTGAAGGGACAGATTTGAGGAGGGCGTGTCTAGTGTTAGGGACCCCTCCCATAAGCTGGTGCACTGGTTTCTTAATGGTACTGCATAGTAATAGGAGGAGGGTGGCTCTGGTGTGAAAACATCTCATCTCTTCCCAGGAGACTTGACCAATGAGCTGGTGAGGCACTTCCTCATCGAGACGAGCTCACGAGGTGTGAAACTAAAAGGATGTCCCAACGAGCCTAACTTTGGTAAGTGCCCCCAGTTGTGCTTTCCACATGTGGGGCTGGGTTGGGAGAGCCTTGCCTTTGCCATACTGTCAAAGCAGAACTGTTGGGTGTCTGGGAGAGCCTGTTCAGCCTCTTGTCCCTGTGTAACTGAATCCTCTGGGCATTTGGAGCATCTGTGTTCTTGCACACTTCTGAGAGCACACAAATGTGCCTGTGTGCATAGGTACATAACTTTCTACACACACGTGTAGGATAACTGATGCTGCTGGGAGAGTGGGGGGCAGGGGCTCCCCTTGTTCCATTTATTCTGTGACTAATGTTGTCTGAGGAGCTGCACGAAGACCTTTGTTACATTTTTTTGTTCCTAAAAAAAAGGCCCTGGCACCTCTGTCCCCTCCCTGAGCCCTCTGTGGTGGGCTGCATGGTGGTTTCAGTGAGAGGAATTGCCACATGTGGCCTTAGGACCATTGGTGAAGAAACCCACCTAAAAGCCTGTTTCCATCTACCTGGAGCAATGGTGACCTAATCAGGGAAAGCTGGAGTTTCTTATTCCTTTCCTTGGTTAATGATTATCATACTTTGGATTGTGTGGTTCCATAGCCTAATGATTTTGCAAAAGGATCATTGTATTAAACCAGCAGGTGCAAACAATTCTTCATCTGGCAACGCTGGCCCTGTGCTGACCATCTTCCCTCTCTCCCCAGGCTGTCTCTCAGCGCTGGTGTACCAGCACTCCATCACGCCCTTGGCCCTGCCCTGCAAGCTGGTCATTCCTGACCGAGGTAAGAGCTAGCACCAGAAGGCATCACATCTGTCCCCACAGCCTGCAGGGAGGGGGTAGGTTTCTGACCAGGGTGCACCAGTAACCACCCTGTGTCTTCTAGATCCCATGGAGGAAAAGAAAGACTCCGCGTCAGCCACCAATTCAGCCACGGACCTCCTCAAACAGGGTGCAGGTGAGATGAGAGGGGTTGTTGTGGGGTGAACTTGGCTTGGAATACTGGTTGACCCCACGTCTGCTGTCTGCCTTTCCAGCCTGCAACGTCCTCTTCATCAATTCAGTGGAGATGGAGTCTCTGACAGGCCCCCAGGCCATCTCGAAGGCTGTTGCTGAGACGCTGGTGGCTGACCCCACGCCCACAGCTACCATTGTTCACTTCAAAGTCTCTGCACAAGGCATCACCTTAACAGACAACCAGAGGAAGTAAGAGCCTCCATGGTCACATCTCTGGCCAAAAGCCAGTGTTGGCTTATTCCCAAAGCCAACAGGGCTGTGATTCAGGAAGTGTGTTTGTGAAGGATGTCCCTGGGATGGCATCAACCTGGTCATGGACATGCCTGGGCTTTGTCCTTGACTCTTGGAACATCCTATGGGAGACCTATGGCAGTGTCTCCTGGGCTGGTGGAGCTGGGTTGTGGTGGGACAGTGGTGGAGCCTTCCTGACCCTGACATTTCCTGCTTTGTGTTTCAGATTGTTCTTCCGAAGACACTACCCCCTCAATACAGTCACCTTCTGTGACTTGGACCCCCAGGAACGAAAGTGAGTACCCTAAGCTGGGGGGAGTGCATGACCCCCAGCCCTTTCACTCCTCTAGACTCCTGGGATGCTTGGAGCAGAGTCTTTGCTTGCTCTCTCCACTGCTCTTGCAGAGAGCAGGAATGCAAGGTTCCCTTGGATACTGTGGTGCTATGCCAGCTTCTTCTGGTGACTTTTTGGTGTCTCCAAGCACCTTCATGCTGAGGGAGAGGTGCATAATTTTTCCATAAAGCCAAGCCTGTGCAAAGCCAGGCTGGCCTTCCATCATTGGTGTGGTGGCCCCCATCATGGCCCTGTCTGTCTGTGTGGTGCAGGAGAGACCATCTCTCACGCCTTCTCTTCTCCTTGCAGGTGGACTAAAACTGATGGCAGTGGCCCAGCCAAGTAAGTACTTTCTGTGCTTCCCAGCAGATTCCTCCCAGCTGCTATTGAGGTGATTTCTGCCTGTTTGGGCACTGGCTGGGAGATGCCCTGTGCAGGGCATCCTGGCTGTGTGTGAGATAGGCTCAGCTCCTTACTGTGGGAGTGTCTCACCCAAGCATGAGACCATAGTCCTGGGGACTATGGAAAGATCCATCTTTCAGCCCCAAATTCCTGGTCAGAGCAGGCATGGCTCTTGCTGAACTGAAACTGTAAACTGGAACTGGAAACTCTCCTGACAGAGTCATTGGGAACCAGCTTATGGAACAGAGCTGGGGGTTATGCTCATGGCATGTGAACTACTGGTCATCTCTTCCTTTTCTTCCTGTCCTTCCTGTCCTGACCCATGGGAGCACAGAGCTGTTGGCTGAGCCCATTTCCAGGGGCCAGCTCCCACTAATTTTAGCCATTGTGTGAGCGAAGGGGTTTTTATTAGGATGTCCAGCTGCTGGGATATTTCCCCTCCCCAATTAGAAATACCATAGCCTGGGCCTGTCTCACATTCTGTTCCCCCTGTATTTATAACTCAAGTTTGCACATTCTTATTAAAAAAAAAAAAGGGGACATTTTATTCATCAGGGGAGAGACACACAGAAATAACCAGATGGTCTCATTCAGCTTCCTGTCCTTGCATGGCCTTCATCTCTTAGAGCGTCTACCCCAATGGCCAGGCTCTCTCACCTCTGACTTCAAGAGGCCAAACCGAGGCAATGCTGTGATCATCTAGAAGGTCCCTTCTTAGGGATTCACTTGGGAAGGGTGGCAGGGATGTTCAAAGCGGTTTGGTCAAGAAGTGATTGAAACCTGGCCTTCACAGAAACTGCAGCAAAGGGAAGAGGAGATGGGCCTTCATGCAGGCTGTTTTGGGATGTGTTATGAGAGGTGGATGTTAAAGAGGGGAAGTGGGACAATGCCATGTTGAAAGAGGGTGGTGGTAATCATTGCAGGAGCAATATTGAGGCTCTTGCCTTCTCCCCATGCAGGCTTTTCGGCTTTGTGGCCAGGAAGCAAGGGAGCACCACAGACAACATCTGCCACCTCTTTGCTGAGCTGGACCCAGACCAGCCAGCTGCAGCCATCGTCAACTTTGTCTCCAGGGTCATGCTTGGCTCCGGCCAGAAGAGATGAGCTGGCACGTGCGGGTGATTCTTGAATTTTGGAGAAGGACTTGGAGCTGATCCGAGAAGGAGTGTGAGGAAGTGCATTGTGGGAGAGGGAAGTGAATTGGGGGGGAGGGGGGAAAGGGTTGGAATTTTGGAGGAAAACAGCAAACAACAAAAAAACCACCAACAAAACCCCTAAAAACTCAACACAAGCCAAACACACACGCAGAGGAACAAAACCCACGCACCTACAAAAGAGAGCCACAAAGTCACGCCAGACAGGATGCATGTCCCATTGCAGGGAAGGTGACCAAAGCAAAGGCAGCAGTGAGAGGTGTGTTTCCAGCTTTCAGCATCATGGCCTCAAGTAGTGATACCCATTTGGGACTGAATGTGGGACCATGACTGGTGTTTTCCATCTGGAAAAAAAAGAGGCAACTGGCAAAACCCATGGAAGAAGCTTCATCCCAGCAGCTCCATCTGCTGTGTGTTTGAACTGACCTGTAGGAGATAATGACATGCGCTGGGTCTGTGGGACACCAGAAGAGATGCTCTCAGAAACCTTCTCTTGTCCAGCTGCAGAGGAGGGTCCTTACTGGTCCCTGTGCTTCCCCTAAAACCTGCTTATGACCTGTAACTTGCTGGGGGTGTGAGGAAATTGGTCCTGAACCTTCCAATCCCTGGGGAGATCAGCCATGGGCTGACCTTTGCTGACCCAGAGCCTAGCACCAGTCACAGGTGAGACCCTGTGAGTCCACCCAGAGAGGGGGGTCATGCTGTTTCTCTACTTCCCCAGGGGTTCTTGTGCCCCCCAGCCTGTGAGGAGGTGTGGGGGTTCCTCCTGCCCTGCACCTGGGGAAGGTGGATACTCCCCAGGAACCTGAAGGATGCAGAAAGTCGCCTCCTCTCCCATCTTCCCCTTTTCCCTCCTGTCACAAGTCCTCTTTGGCAGTTCTCTCCTGCGGCCTGTCACATTCTCTTAACACAAAAAAACCAAAACAGAATGGAAAGGAATAGTTGTAATAATAATAATGATTATAATAATAGCTGATGCTGGCATAGGTGGGTTTCCTGTGCAAAGCAGCAGACCCGTGGCTACCCCTATCTAGCTCTTTGGAGACACGCAAGCGGTTTTTAAATTGCATGGACATTCAAGTTGCACGAAAGGCAAACGACTACAAGTAACTCAGGCGCTTTTTTCTCCTTTTGTTTTGGAGGCCATGTTAAAAAAATAAAGAAGGAAGAAAATTAAAAAGAAAAAAGAAAAAAGGAAGGGACCTGCAGTGGCTGGGCAACTTTGGCTCAGTGGGGAGGTAACAGGTCCTCTGAGAGCCACCCTGGTTGATGCATGTGTACCCCCAAAACCATCTGGTTCAAGGCTTGTGCCCCTGAAATGCAGCAGAGTTTTGCAGTGATTTCAGTGGTGTTGGCTTTTCCCTTTGCTTTGGTAGGTGAGGAGGGCAGGTTGGGTGGAGAGAGGGGCAGAGGGCCCCTGTGCCACTGCAGGGGGAGAGATCATGGTGGGGGTGCAGCAGGTGGAGGTCCCAGCCCTGTGGTGCTGGCGAGGGGGCAGAGGATGCTTCGGTCACATGTGCAGGTTTAGGGCTGGGGGAATGGTCCAGCTGGAGCTGCGGGGTCATTGCTGAGCCCTCTTCCCCCCAAGAGCTTTTTTGGGCAAAGTTTTCAGTGCAAAGTGGCCCAGATAGTCTTTTGGGGACAAAAATTAGAAACATAGCACTGCTGTCCCCTGGAGATCTTGTCTCCTGTGGACCACCCTTGCCTTGATAGCTATAATATATATACAAGCTATACTGACAAAATACTGTAAGCTAATGAAATTTTAAGGAGGAAAAAAAAAGGTTAGATTTACACTCAAAAAAATATTTATTTTTGCCATATTGCTTTCCGCGCATCATATCTCCCCCACTATATTCCCCCCTTCCCCTGCCCTGGGGAAACACCTGCATGTTAAACGAAAATCCAGAGCAAGGCAGAATAGAGATGGGGGAAGAGGCGGGGGCCCGTGTGTCGGGGTGGCTGCGTGTGAGCGGTGCGTGCGTGCGGTGTGCGTGTGTGTGTGCGTGGGGTGTGACGGCGTGGGCGGCCGGACAGGCCTGCCGGGGCAGAGGCTCTACTGATGTACTGAAGTGTGAAAGGATGGGTAGCGAGGAGCTGGTTGTGAGGTGGTGGTGGGACAGGAGGTTCTGGGTGGGGCTTTCCCCCTCCCCGGCTTCCTGGCCGCACAGATGCAGAGATCTTTTAATTTTTGATATTTCCAAAAAGTGATTCCCTCCTTCTGCGAAATTCAAGCGAGACAAGAGATGATCTCACCCGTAATCTCCTCACCCTGCCATTCACCCATCAGAGAAAACACTGTGTTTATAGATATATAAAAATATATTTTTGAAAGCCTCTATTTTTCAGACTTGGTTTTCTCACTGCTAAGAAAAGAGATGATAATAATGTAATTTTATTTTAATCTGCTGCCTTGGAAACTGGTGCTTGGAACTCCTATTTCTCTTTTTCTCCCCATACAAACAAAGCAGATCTAAACACCCCAGAGATGTTGCATAGAAGCCGACCCCAGCAGATACCTGCCAATAGCATCACGCCTGCTTCAGGCCCTGAGCCTCTCCCGGCTTCCCCACTAACACACTAGCTGAAAATTTAGTCTGTATCCAAATCTCAAACACTAACAAAATCATCTGATGATTGTATTATTTTTTTAACACACAGCTAATCACCTTCCAATGATGTAGCCGGGTGTTTTATCAGCTTCCTTTAAAGGCACTTTTTTTCCCTTTAGCTCCTTCTTTAAAGAAGGTTTTAAGGTATAACAACCCTTTCTGTCCCTGGGAGAGACCATCAGCAGCATTTAGGATTGCCCAGGTCCTGGGGCTGTCGAGGACCTAGTGTTGATATTTTTTTCCTTATGAAAGGGACAGAAAATACTCTTTATTTTTTTTTTTTTTTTTATGTGCAGTCATGCTATTTGAGATTCAATCTCTCACGAGTTAAGCCCAGCATATGTTTTGTTGTAATCACACTGCCGTTGTCAGCAGCCGGATGGTATCTCTCTCTCGCTCACACAGACACACACACACACACACACACAAACACATCCCTCCTTCCTGCACAAAGAACTGCATATATTCTTGCCAAAGATACCCTTAAAAACGCACTTTTCCCCACATATATATAGATAGATAGATATATATTTTTTTTTTTTTTTGTGTGTGTGTGTAAATTTATTGTACGTGCCCTTTTTGTGTCAGTTTGTTCTTCGGAGAAGCCTGTCCTGCCTTTGCTGTCAATATTGCTGTCAATTGGGAAATGCTCCCTGGGGAAGTAATTTGCTGTCTGTCCTGCTCAGTGGCACCTGCAATGCACAAAATATGGGATTCCCATTCAATGGGGCTGCCTCTGGCTCTGCCCCTGGGAGCTGTTTTGGGAGATACCCATGTCATCAACTGCTGATGGGATGCATAGTGTTCACCAGTCCCATGTCACTGGTGAAGACAGCAGGGCTCATGGTTTTGAGCAGAGTTTGGAGTTGCTCTGAGTGCAACATTTGCTGTCTGCCTCCTGGTCAAATTACACATGGAAAACAAACCAGGTAGGGAGAAAAACCCAACCCAGCCTCTGGGCATTGATTTTTCAGTGAATTCAACCGCCCGAACCAAAGTGCAAAGTAAATCCCCACCCAGCAGGTCGGGCAGGTAAAGAAACCAGTTGCCCCAAAAACCCCAGACGACAGCATCAACAAAAGGCAACCCTTCCCGTTGGAGCAGGCAGGATGATCAGACAGCAAAGGAGCCCGCAGGGGCTTGTTTCATTTTGTTCGTTTGTTTTGCAAATTTCGAGGTTGGTTTGGGGTTACTAATTTTTTTTTTTTCTTTTCCTTAAAAAGGAAAAAAAAAAAAGAAAGAAAAAAGGAAGCAATATGACGTTTCTGTTGGCGGATCCTGTGCCGCCGTGTTATGCGTGGGGTTTTTTTTTTTGTTGTTGTTGTTGTTGTCTTTGTTACTTTGGGAATGTTACAGATTTATTTGCTAATCAGTGTTAACAAACAGTTTCAAACTTTTAGACTCGCCCATTTCTGTGTATTTATATAGATGGAAAAAAAAATACATTATATTTTGTATCTTTATGCCCATAATGTTGTCGTGCGTGTAAGGATGACTTCGGTCGCACCATGTCCGTGTGTGAATGTCACTCCGCTGTTGTCTTCCCATTGTACAGATGTTGGATTCTTTGCAGTTCATTGTATGGCTTTATAAAGTGGTAAAAACAACAAAAAAAGGAACCAGTTATATAAAATATACTGTTGCTTGGAATGCCAGCTTGGTGTTTGAATTTCTGGAAACGTATGTTGAAATTTAAGGGAGCATACAAATAAATGTTCTGGGTTTTTTTTTTTTTGCACAGGGGGGAAAAAGCCCCGAACCCCAATCCCATATGAAAAGCTGGTGGGTGCTGTGTTTTCTCCAGGCTGTTGTTCCCCCTGTTCCTCGATGGCAGATTGGGGCCCCCGGACAGACGCCGGGTGGTGGGTGTGGGAAGAAGGAGGGGTTGTGCTGCTGCTTGTCAGCCTCCAGCCGCAGCTTGTGTTCACCAGATGCTGGCTAACCAGACATCCCCAAACTTCCGACATGGCTCCAGCTCCAGCCCGGGCTTTTGTTTACCAGCAGGGATCTCTCTGGCTTGCTCTGCAGCCACTGGGTGCTCTTCAAGTCCTGTTGCTTTTTCCCAGGTTGCCTTTAGGTGCTGTGTGTCCAGCCTCGGGCATCCCTTTTGGGTCCATCTCCCGAAGGGGAGCAGGATAGGATGATGCTGGTATGGGGTCTTTTCCTCGGCGGCAGTTTGGGCTCTGCTCACATTAAATCCCACTCCGTATGCCTTTCAGAGCCACCCTGCTCCCTTGTGCCTGGCAAAACTTCCCCCAAAGTCTCAGGCCAGGCTTTTCCAGCATTTGCGGAGCAATTCCCAGCATCTGTCAGAACACTCAGCCCCTGGCTCTCTGGCTCCACTCCTTCCCCTCCTTGCTGAGTTGGTGGCCAAGACCCAGCCCCCTGGATGGATTGAGTTTAATTATACAAGAAATATCAGCCAGAGCAGCGGCAGTTTCTCTGGCGCCAGCACTGCTGCGGCTCAGAGCCTCAGAGTTTCTCCCGGGAGCCGGCAGCACTAAAAATACTTCCTGCCTTTCTCTAAAATAGCTGCAGGCGAGGGGCGGATTTCGGGGACTGCTCGTGTGGGGACCCCGTGCTGTGGGGCTTGTGCTGGGAGGCAAAGGCAAGAGAGGTAAAAAAAGAAAGGGGTGGAGGGGGAATGATTTCTGGCCCCTCCGAAATAGCTGTGGGGGCTGTGGGTGGGCACCCAAGCCACCAAATGCCCTCCAAGCAAGGCTGCACCACGGGACCTTGTGAGGTACCTGGCGTGTGCCAGCCTTGGCCTCAGTTGTCCCTTACCTACCTGTAGGCAAGACAGGACCTGCAGCCTCCTCACCCTTTCTGACACCGCAGGGATGGTATTTTCCTTCTAGCTTCTCTTAGTTTTGTTTCTTCCCTGATTCCTGCTGGAATCAACTCCCCAGGACACAGCACCAGCCCCTTTCCCATTCCTGCTGTTCCTGCCTGGCCGGGATGGCCAGTGCTGAGTATCCCTGGGCAGGGACGAGAGGCGGTGAGTGCCTGGTGAGGTGGCACATGCAGCCTGTTTGTTGTAAGCCATAAACTGCCTCTCATTCCCCCCCCCCCCC